GGCTGCGAGGAATGCGCACGTTCTTCATGCCCAAGAAACCGTTGTTGACGCCCAGGAAGCCCATCTTCTTGCCAATCTCGCCAATGTGCACGCCCGGCCTTGGCTCGAATGTGTCCTCTTCGCGCACCTGCACGTAGAACAAGTGGGGTCCCTTCAGCTGGCCATCGATATACAGCTGCGCCATGACCAGACTATAGTTGGAACTGTGACCCACTGAAAGAAGAGCAAAATTAGAGATTGAGAAAACACTGCTTTGGATAGTACTCACAGCCGCCGGGCCACCACTTGTAGGAGGAAATGGTGGGCGTGTTCAGGACAAACTCATCCGTATCGCGATCGAAGTCGGCGCGTGTCTCCAGGCCTCGCAGATATGTTCCATGACCCAGTTCCGTCTGGGCATAGGCGGCGGTCACTTCGAAGCGTTCCAGACGCTTGCCAAACTCCTCGTACTGCTCGGGTGTGCACTGTGCCTTCAGAGCTTTCACTACCATTACGTACATCACGCCAAAGGGATTGCCAGCCAGGTGCAGGCCCCACATTTCCGGCTCCTCAAAGAGAGTGCTGCAGCAAAATGAGAGAAATTAAAAGAGAATTTACAGATAATTTAACATTTACTCACGGCCAATATTCGTTGCCGCCAGGATTTCGCTCTGCTTGCAGCTGGCGCAGCTTTTTCGCCACGTTGATGCTGCTTTTGACGGCGAATTCACACATATCCTCATGCGACTTGTAATACAGCTGGGCGTACTCAGCGCGATCAATGTCCTTATACATATACTCTTCTGCAAAGAGAAAGAGAGAGAGAGAGAGAGAGAGAGAGAGAGAGAGAGAAGAGAGAAAGAGAAATCAGCATTAGTTGTAATCTTAAATGTGCACAGGAAGGAGACAAATCTTTTTTTATAAGTCTAGACCTTATCAGTTCGAATCAGAGCGGAAGGGCAGTGTCTGCACCTAAGACCGGATACCTGAGATAACGGTTATCGTTGAATTTATTTATCGTGAATATTTAATAGGGCTTCAAAGGGCAATAGCATGTTATATATAAGATTTAGTACGGCTTACGATGAATTTGTTTACATCGAGCTTTGCGTAAGGAAGAGCTTAATTCACATAAACTTACTGACGCTTCTCTTAAAGTTTAGTTTATCTGCGCCGCCCGCCCACCAGGCCGCAAATTCTTCGCTGCTGAAGCTGGCCGCATCGCGTTCCTTTTGCAGATCAGGATTAACTGTACTAGGAATTACGCTTTTCGACGACATTTTTAAGCAAGGATATAAAATATAACTTTTGTTTATGTTTTTACAAATTTTGCAACCACTCGCCACCTGCTGCGGATCACAACTAACGTCTCTGGCAAAAAAGTTGAACTTATATGTGAAATTCAACCAAACTTTGGAATGTCTCTCTCTCTGTCTTTCTTTCTGGCTCTCTTGCTGATAAGAGAGTCTAAGAGTTGGGCTAGTTGTGCGTATGTTATGAATCTGTTCGCTTTCTCTATTGGGGTAGGTTGCGTGGGCAGTTGCTCTACACAGTGGCGCCACCTAGCGTTATTGAAATGCAGCTGTGTTTGTTGACAATTCATTCAAAATAAAACCGTTAAGCACCATCAATAAAATAAACTTAAACGGAAAACAAATTGAAAAGAAAGAAATATACCTTATTGTAAATATTATATGTTCGATTTCATAAATGGACCCAAATGCTCGTGAAAGCTTTTTGGAACCGGTTTTCGGTTCATGGGCGACTTCAAGGCCGCATCGAAGACTCGCTCAAGGACATTGCCATCAAAGAAGCCCAAAATGGAATTCAATTGCTCATCGCCAAAATCGAATCCATCCACAATGGCCACCACATCGGGTCGCAACTTGGTCAGCGCCGCCTCCAACCGTGCCTGCAGCTGGCCCAGATGGACATCCGTCAAGCTGGCAACCTGTAAAACAAACGAAAATGAAGCTAACTTCGTAAGGAGCAAGGAGATTGGAACTCACTCTGAGTATATCGCTCATGTGCTTAAGTGTACCATTGACCAGGTACAGCTCCAGCAGTTGCTCCAGCACGCGGTTAAGAGCGGAGGTGCGTGTTTTGGACTTTGGCCCAGTTACCTCGGTCAGGAAATTGTGGCATACAAAAGCGCGAGCATGAAACTATACAAAAATGTTAGAAATAAGTCACTGATATTGCCAAGATTTAATGGAAGGGTACCTCAGCTGCCTGGGTGAGCTGAATGCCCGTGTGACTCGCGGCTACCTTCTCCGATTCGCCCTTATCCATGCGATTGCATAGACTCCTAAGGGCCAGACTCGTTTTGCTAATGAATACAATAAAATACAAGTTTACAAAGAAGATTAGCCAATAGCTTCCACAACTCACTTGGCGGCAGCCAGCTGCATCGCATTCACCATATCCGCCCAGCTGCCTGTCCACACTTTGAAATCGGCATTTTGCTGCATGCCAGCTAAGTAGCTGGCGGTGGGTGCAAGAGGAGCGCCGCCTTCTGCTGCTCTCCAGGATTTCAGCAGAAAGCGACTAACCTGGAGCAGCAGCACCGTGTTCTCGCCTTCGTAGGTGCACGCGGCAACTGTATTCGCATATAGATTGCCCAAATTGGATGCGGCAAGGTAGCCAAGACCACCGCAGGCCAGACGCAGTCGCTCAATGCCCGCGGCGGAGTCGTTGGAGCTCATAACCTTCAAAGCGCATGAGAGTGCGTGCAGCTCGGCCAGACGCTCGTAGTTGCCCTGGTCTATGTCGCTGGAGGTCACATTGAACAGATCCCAGAGGTAGTCGTAGGCCAGGCGAAGGGCCAAGCTAGTGGCTATTTCCGGGAACACTTTCAGTTGCTGCGTTACGTGATCTATGATCTGCGGCTCGGGCAATCTGCAAGGCAGTAATTGGGTATATTTGCCAGTTAACTTGGCTTCGGGTTGCGGTACCTGGGATCGATGGGACTTTGTCGACGCACCGCCGAGAAGCGAGTGGCAATGGTGGCCGCCGTGGCCAGCGACAAAGTCGTGTTGCGTGCCACAATGCAACGTGTGGCAAGCATTGAAAAGTAGGTGAGTGCATCCACTGGACTCTTTACGTAGCTGCCATCGCGTTGAACCTGGGCGTGGCGCATTAGCATACGGCTGCGTGGGATGCGCACGTTCTTCATGCCCAGAAAACCATTGTTGACGCCCAGGAAGCCGATCTTCTTGCTCAGCTCGCCAATGTGTATGCCCGGCCTGGGCTCGTGTGTGTCCTCCTCTCGCACCTGCACGTAGAACAGGTGAAGTCCCTTGAGCTGATCATCGATATACAGCTGCGCCATGACCATTGCATAGTTGGAACAGTGACCCACTGCAAGAAAATCAGGATTATAGGCTTAACAAACATATTAACCAGCTTCAAATTGCACTCACAGCCGCCGGGCCACCATTTGTAGGAGGAAATGGTGGGCGTATTCAGGACAAACTCATCCGTGGCTCGATCGAAGTCGGCGCGTGTCTCCAGGCCACGCAAATGGCTGCTGTGGCCCAGCTCCGTCTGGGCATAGGTGGCGGTCACTTCGAAGCGTTCCACACGTGCGCCAAACTCCTCGTACTGCTCGGGTGTACACTGAGTCTTCAAGGCACGCAGCACGACCATGAACATCACGTGGAAGGGATTGCCTGCCAGGTGCAGGCCCCACATTTCCGGCTCCTCAAAGAGAGTGCTGCAGCATATTAAGAGAGATTAAGAGAAAATTAACATATAAGGAAACGTTTACTCACGGCCAATATTCGTTGCCGCCGGGATTTCGCTCCGACTGCAGCTGGCGCAGCTTTTTCGCCACGTTGATGCTGCTTTTGACGGCGAATTCACAAATATCCTCATACGACATATAAAACACTTGAGTGTACTCATCATAGTCGAAATCCTTGTACATGTACTCTCCTGTGAAAGAGAACAGTTGTCAGTGGATTGTGCAAGAGAATATTTCCTTCTATTACTATAACTGTAAAAACTAGCCAAGAGCGAGATAGAGAGTCTAAAGATATGTATATGGGCAAATGGTTCAAGTTCAAGACTTATTTGATTTATTCAAAGTCTAAGTTTACGAGCATGAAGAATGGCAAAAATAAAAATTAGTTTTCGATCATATTTCAAGTTTATAGCGTTTCGGGATCTATGCAGCTAAATATTTGAGAATATATTGAGTATTGTCGGTATCCTGCTTTGTATCCAAAGCAAGATTATCATCAAATCATATCCGATTGCCTTTGCAATTAGTCTCCGCCGGGATTACATTTAAGGTTATGCTTCGGTTTTGACCAATTCCCTTGATATAACATAGATAGAACTTACTGACGCCTCTATTGAACTTGAGTTTCTCTGCACAGCCGGCCCACCAGATCGCAAATTCTTCGCTGCTGAAACTGGCTCCGTCTCGTTCCCTTTGCAGATCGGGATTCACGGTTTTGGGTATAATGCTTTTTGATGGCATTTTAAGAATTGACTTTCAATAGGCCTCTTAAGTGCAAGCGCTCGACAGCAGCTGTCGATCAGAACTGAAGTCGCGGCGAAGTGCATTCAACTTATATACAAAATTGCAGCTTTTTTTTTTGCTCTCTCTCTCTTTCTCTTATACGCTTCATCAGTGGAGTTGAGTGCAATAAAGTCTTATACTCAATGTATAAGTCCGAGCAGTGCGAGCTTTGCGCTCAAAATGGTTTAAAATATGAACACATACATGCACACAATCGTATTAATACTTCATTGTGGTAGGCTACGTTTGATGCTAATAAACCAAATGCACACTTATAATCAATGCCTCGAGTTTTCCCTAATCAGTTTCCCAATTCGTTTTTATGTTTAGATAATTTAGCATATTTTGCCTGCAAAATTATTAACCGTTGCACTGCACACGCCATCTGGCGTTAATTTCGTGTAGCGATATTTGAGCGCTGGCCCAGACACGAGTAGACTTGCATGAAACCGATGTACAATTTGACTGTGTTATCAAGCGATTGTATCGTGCGTGGGACTTACTTGAGTTATTTGTAAACAATGGCAACAAACTTCAATGTCGGGATCCTGGGGCACGTGGATAGCGGCAAAACCACATTGGCGCGTGCGTTGAGCTCCATATCCAGCACGGCGGCCTTTGACAAGAATCCGCAGTCCGTGGAACGTGGAATAACACTCGATTTGGGCTTTAGTGCACTTGTCTTGGAATCCTCCGCTGGCCCGAACGATGGGCAACAAATGCAGTTCACATTCGTGGACTGTCCAGGACATGCATCCCTTATACGCACCATCATTGGAGGTGGGTGGTGATCAGCTGCCGGCACGAGATTTGTGCTGAAGCATCTCATGTTTGCAGGCGCACAGATCATCGACCTGATGCTGCTCGTGGTGGACGCACAGAAGGGCCTGCAAACGCAGACGGCGGAGTGTCTGGTCATTGGCGAGCTGCTCGACAAGAAGCTGCTGGTGGTCATTAACAAAATCGACGCACTGCCGCCGGAACAGCGCGCAGCCAAGCTGGAGAAGCTGCAGAGCAGGCTGCGCAAGACGCTGGCGGGCACAAGCTTCGGCGACCAGGTGCCCATCTACAGCGTGTCCGCGCTGGCGGGCACAAACATCGCGGAGCTGCGTGCCGGTCTGAGCGCCGTCCACCAGATGCCGCAGCGCCAAGTGGATGCACCGCTGCTCATGTATGTGGACCATTGCTTTGCCATCCGGGGCCAGGGCACCGTCTGCACGGGCACGCTGCTCCAGGGACGCGTTGCCGTCAACGAGAATGTGGAGCTGCCGCTGCTGGGCGAACGGCGCAAGGTCAAGTCCATTCAGATGTTCCGACAGCCGGTGCAGAGCGCCCGTGCTGGCGATCGCATTGGGCTCTGTGTGACCCAATTCAATGCCAAGCTAATGGAACGCGGCATCGTTGCCCAGCCGGGCTATCTGAGATCCGTTTACGCCGTGTGCGTGCGAGTCCAGCCAATACGCTACTACAAGCAGGCGATCCGCTCGAGGAGCAAGCTGCACATCAGCGTGGGCCACGACACGGTCATGGCCAGCCTCACGCTGTTCCGGGACGAGGCCGCCCGCCCGGACTTTGACTGCAGCAGGGAATACGCGTACGTGGAACAGCTGTTGCCGGCGGAGTCAAGCTCCAGCGAATGTTGCTTTGCGCTGCTGCAGTTCGAGACGCCCGTGCTGAGCATATTGGGCGGCACGCTGATTGCCTCCAAGCTGGACATGGATGTGCACAGCAGCAGCTGCCGCCTGGCGTTCTGGGGCCGCATCGCCTGGCAGACGCACAGCGTCAACTACCAGAGCGAGGAGCTGCCCCGGCTGCGCATATACAAGCGCAAGGAGAAGCAGGGCCAGGTGCAGCGCGTGGTCAGCAACAGCGAGATCATCGTACAGAATCTCTTCAAGAAGGAGGCCAATCGCGACATGTACGTGGGCAAGCGGGTGCAGCTCTCCTCGGGCGAAACGGGCTGCATTGAGCGCACTTTTGGGCAGACTTCCAAGGTGTGCATTGTGTTCCGTGATGGCATATCGAGTGAAACGCTGGAGCGGCTCAAGTCGGAGCAGGCCAAGGAGGTGCGCGTGTTGTTGAATTGCAAGAAATATATATTTAATAAACAGGCGGGACTGTTTCAATAAGAACTAATTAGTTTTTATTTCACAAGTTATTTTGGCGCAATTTTTCGCTAGCGCCATCTGTTGAAAGTTGATCTAAACGGTCGTCAGTCTGTCATTTTGCAACACTGCATTTATCGACCGACCACCGCAAAGTTGAAACAAGAAGAAGAGCGTACACAAACAAAACAAAAGTTCTATGCAAAATTATAAGCATAGTTGCTTAAGCATTGCCATACAATAGATATATATACAAAAATTCAAAATGTTATGGTGCATAGTGTTGCTGCTGCTGCTTTGCAGTGCGGCAGAAACAGAACCCGTCACTGTGGACTGCAGCGAGCTGCTAATGGGGCAATTTATGTGCCCTGATCCCGCCAAGAATCACATAGATCCCAAGACACAGCAGCTGCGCGGCTGCACCAAGCAGAACAGAGCGCGCGTCTGGTGCATAGCGGCCAATGAGATCAACTGCACCGAAACGGGCAACTCCACCTTCACGCGGGAGATGCCCTGCAAGTGGACGTAAGTGTAAACAACTCGAAATTGCTAGCCGGCTCCTAGTTTGATTATTTTATTTTTTATGCAGCAATGGCTACCACTTGGACACAACCCTATTGTTGTCGGTATTCCTGGGCATGTTCGGTGTGGATCGCTTCTATTTGGGCTATCCAGGCATCGGTCTGCTCAAGCTGTGCACGCTGGGCGGCATGTTTCTGGGCCAGCTGATAGACATAATATTGATTGCGCTACAGGTGGTTGGACCTGCCGATGGATCTGCCTACGTTATACGTATGTGTACACAAATAGTTGTCAATATTGTACAGTCGATATATCTTTCAACCATTTTCAGCTTACTATGGAGCTGGGATCAGCATTGTGCGCAGCGATAATACGACGTATCGCTATTGCAATCAACTCTATTGCATGCAGCAATGAAATTAGGGAATGCTGGTTTAGCTATGCCAGAGCCTTTGGTCATAGCTGAAGATCAGCCTAAACTAAGCAACGACTGTTGAACTAGAATATATTTACCAATTGTAGTTATAAATCTAGACTATTAGCTTCAAGAATTGTTGTATTTTTAACTAAACATAAGTCTACTAATGTAATAGTAACATGTACATATATATAAACAAATTGTTGGCAAAAGCAACGCTAAACTTAAACCTGAATTGTGCTGGCAACTTTCAGTGATGTCGTTGATGATGATTTCGGGATAGCAGCATGCGGCAAGGACAACAAAAATAATTGGGCAAACTTGTACTTTGATCGCTTTCAACATGAACATTCGCAGCGCGTCAGAGCTTAGTCAACGGACGACTCACTGGCGCAGACTCCGTGCAGACTGACTGTAATCAACGCAGATGGCGGCGACTGTGGCCCCGGATAGGGGCAAAGCGGGCTGCGAGTCGCGATTGCGATTGCGCATGCTGTATGTACGTTCTGTGGGCCTTTCATCTGATTGGCATTTCCGAAATAATCAGCAACATTGCATCGACAACGGCACGAAATGAAGAAAACAGAAAAACAACAACAACAACAAGTTGCCTGAAAATGCGTCGCTTGTTCGATTTAATTGCCATGGCCAATGTTTGGGGTCGCGTGTAATTCAATGCCTTTTAATTAGGCACTCAATTAAGGCAGATTCGCGACTTCAGAAAGCAAAAGCAAGACCCAAAATATGTTCAATGAAAGCAAAAAAAAAATAAACACCATTGCATGCAAAATGTATGTAAGGCACAGTCACAGTTGGCGAGTCAGTGGCTGTCAAACTGTAGCATATTGCTCATACGCACGGTGGGTGGCTCATTGTGGCTTATTGTGGCTATTGTGCTAACAATCATGTGTTGTTTACTTACACAGCCACGCCCATACTCCCGCCCTCCCCCCCTCTCTCTCTCTTGCGCTCACTCCTTCTGTCTGCTTCGCTGCCCTGCCACTTGCCCAGCAGCCCCTTCTGTCTGCCTCTCAGCATGTGTCCAGTTTCAATTAGCCAACTTGACAGCCAGTTGCAAGTCTGTTGTTATATGTAGCTATTAGCTGTGACTATTGTTGTGTTTGTTGTCGTTGTTGTTGTCGTACATCTATGTAATTACAGCATGAGACTTTTGCCGCCTGTGTAAACAAGAGGCGCTTTGATCTCCGTCTGACAGGCAGACGCAATAGTGGATACTTGGCCAGTTGGCCGAGCTGGGAGTAGCTAGCGGTTGCCTTTGTTGGGACAAGTGCTCGGCTTCAATCTAATAATGGTATCGTTTACTGCAGTCTCTTTTGTATATTTTTTTTGTGTTTTTGCAACTGCAGGCAAATGAACTTTGCCAATGGCCATTAGAAATTTGAGCAGCTTGTTTGCAGGTTTCTTAAATGCTTCTGTTTTGTTTTTGGTTTTTTTTTTTCTGCGCTGTCTGCAGCGGCGGCGACCTTATGGAAAATGCCCAAGAGCTACGCACTTGGTGCCGCGAGAAGTATGCGTCGTATTTGTATTTGGTGGGTGTTTTGTGCCTATTTGCCTTAAGATTAGGCTCGAGCCTCACCTGAGGCCGGCCGCAGCCGTGTTTCAGCTAAAAATATAAAATATAAAACGCAAGCAGCCAGCACACAAATTGCTAAGCACACACACCTCTGCCAGCTACAAAGTTAAGCCCGGCAAATAATGGCAAATTGCAAATATTTACAATTATGAAAATAGCATCGAAAAACTGTTTTATATATAGACCCGAAGAGCCAGAAGATTGGCGAGCGCTGGCTCCACCATAAAAGACGCAATCACGACGAAACCAAAACCAAAAGTAGGGCCTAGGGGTTGGCATTGGTGGGTTGGCTTGGAGGGGGTGGGAAGGATTGTCGTACTACTTGTGCTATTTGCATAGCGCTTAGAAGCTCAACGGCTAATTACGCTCAAGTGGCGTGGAAAATTGTGGCTCGCCCGGTCGAGGCAGGCGAAACGCCCCCCTTTATGGCCAGCCCGGCTACGGGCTGCCAATGACGTTTATGCCAAATTGCTTTTAAAATTGTTTACAATAACACACACACACACACACACACACACACACACACACGCACACACAGTTAAAACAGATAGGAAAATGAACTCTATACAAATACAAGTAATTTAATGAAGCGCAATTATTGAATTTTCAAAAGTAAATCATAGACTGCGTCAGGGCTTGCCACATGATGCCGAACCACAAGCATGTGGTTGCATGCGAGGCAGCAACATTTGCAAATTGTTAGCTGGCTGCAAGTTCTCTTTTGGTAGTCTCATAAATAATGGCAGCCGCTTGTGACAAAATGTGCGCCTGGGAAAACCAAAAGCCAACTGGCAGCTGGCAACTGGCAACTGGCAACTGCATTCGTGATAACTGCTAAGTTTTCCATGCGCCGAAGTCTGGCCTGGCCTGGCCTGGTCTGGGTCTATGCCTATGTCTACCTAATCTTATACAATGAGTGCATAAATCATCTCTTGCTGCCTCCCCCCACACTCAACCCCGCTACCCTTACCTTCCTTGTGACTGCATTTTCCATGGCATTTGATTACTTTGCCGACGCTTTTCCTCAGTTTCAGCGTTCAGCTGCAGCTCTCAAGTCTCAAGTCTCAGCTCTCAGCATAAATGTCAAATGCTCGCCAATTTGATTTGGCGTTTGGCTAAGTATAAATTATGCCCAGGCCAAACACCTGCCTACCCCTCTACCCCTGCTCCCTCTGGCAATAGCACTCCTTGCCACTGGCTAAGTCAAAAGTTGTCTTTAATTTGCGTTTAAGCCAACAATTTAGCAACTTAAGTGTTATTATCGCATTTGAAACAAATGCCATAAAAGATTTGTGGCTTTTGAACAAGTGCGGCTAAGTGCTAGTCGCTGTATTTAACTGTAAATACAGTTGTTGTTGCTGTTGTTGTGATTGTAATGCATGTGCTGTTGCATTTAGTTAATGCATGATTCCAAATGTTATGCGACTTGTAAATGGCATTTACAATTTGTTTGTTCCAACTCATTCGAGAAAAGTCACAGCAATATTTGCCACAACTGTTTATATTTTTTATATTACTAATTATTTACTTACCAGTTCCTAAATCTCCTTTATCCAGGGATCTGCAAGAAAGGAAAACAAAACGAGCTTATTAATCAAAGTCTATTTGGCTGGCAAGGAACTAGGCTCTGCATATGCATACGCACACTTAAACATTTTGGGAATTATAAGTGAATGTCATGTGCATGTTAAACTAACATACTTCACGTGACACACTTTCTGGTACTTGAATCTTATCTGTGAGCATAAGGAATCAAATTTCTTAATAGATAAACTTCAATTGTCTTTACATATTTTGCGCTCCATTCATAAAAGTGCCGCAGTTATCGCCGCTGATGATTATTTTTTGGTTAGGTATTTCCTATGGTATTTCCCTTTGCCAGCGCAATATCGGAGCAAAGAAAACAATGTTTGTGGCATATTAAAATGCCAGTTGACAAATTCTAATTTGCAGCGCAGAATTCTGAGAAGCGCATGTAATTGAGAATTGAGATAACATTATTAGCTCGGTTTGTTTAAGGGCGGGGACGGTGCCAAATGAGCCATTCACCTGTGCCTCAGCACCTGTTAACAAGGTGTTCATTTGCACTCTGCGGAATGCGCACAATTGTTGAAAATTATATTTCAATTGCTGCAAAATATCGGGCAATTCGAGCAGCAACCAAAATTTAAGCCATGAAACGGGAAAATAAATACTAGCTAGGGCTTAAATAACCAAAGAACAGCAATTTCATATTAAACAAAATATTATATTCTTGCAAGGTATGTCGATGGCGAGCTAATGCATGTTTAGTCTGGGTAAAATAATGCCAAAACTAGTTATTTACATAGCTAAAATCGTCAAGAATGAGCCATTTAATTTTGTTTTCGATTGGAACTACAAATTTGACAGAGATAAAGAAAGAATAAATGATATATGTACATCAAGTTAACATTAAGTCTAAGTCTAAGGCTAGATTGAACAGAAAACAAACAAAAAAACAAATTCCCGCAGCAATTATATATTGAATCATATAAAGTATAATCTCAAATATAGCTATTAGGAAAACTATAGATATGCCCAACGGAATGGTAGCACATTATGGCCAATACTCGTTTCTATGGCATCCTCAGTTCAACTTGACCCCAAACCAATTGCTGAGCACCAGTTAACGGTTCGAGCCCCCCAAACAGAAGAAAAACCAATCCGCAGCGTCTGTTGCTGTTAACAACAACAGCAACAACAAGAAGAAGAGCAACAACAACAAGGGCTGGACTTCGTGTTCGACTCGTTTTTCGGGGCTCGTATCGCTGCCTTCGGTTCGTGTTTCACAGCTGCGGCTCTCCCGAGTCGCGGCATTCGCTGCCTGCGTTTCGGACGGCGCTGGGCCGTTCAGTTCTCGTTTAACAGCGCCGGCGAACGGTCAGAGAGTTGCGGAAAAGCGCTGAGCCGAGTGGAACTGAGCTAAGAAAATTGCCTGCGCAGCCAGGAAAAGTTTGTCAGATTGTTGGGAAAGAAAAATTCGCGCGCGTTTCTACGTCGCATGATCGCTTGACAAAAGAAAAATTTATTACACAAAAAAAAAAAAAACATAAAATTTAATTATACTACAAAAACAGCATAATTACAAAGCTCGTAAATCATTTATTTATATATAAATATATATGTATATATATATATATATATATAGAGGGAGAGAACTGAACCCCCCGCGCTGTCTGCAACAGCTTGATCTAAGCTTTGTTATCGCGCGATTTTTGTGTGTGAAACAACAAATATTTAATAAAAGTATAAGAGCATTTAAATATGAATATAAACGAAATGTTTTGAAATACGCCTTAAGGTAATCGACGAAAGGAAAATAAACATAAGAACAAATTGGCGCGCAATTGGCAATTGCATATGCGCTGCGGCTGGCGTTGCGTTTTACATAAATTGCAATCGTATTTGCATTTGCAATTTGAATTAAGGCAAGAACAATAAACAAACACAATCAAATAATAGACAATAAATAAGTTAAAGCTAAGCTCAGCTGAGCGCACGGCCAAGTTCAGCTGCGGCACAACGTGGCGTATGCGTAATCTGTAATTTTACACATCCTGCGGAAATAGCGCGCTGTGACTTTTGAGTGTGCCCGCGCGCGCCTCTGCGTGTGTGTGTGTGTGCGTGTGTGCGTGTGTGTGTGGCACGTGGCGCGAAAGCTATTTTCTTTATTTGCCAAAAAGGGAAAAACGGAAAAATTGAAATGAAAAGCGTGCACGTTGCGTGTATTCTGAGTGCTGCCCGTTGATGTTCTTCTTCTCATTGCCGTTGTTGTTGTTGCGCCTTAAGAAGCAAACAAATTGAAATAAGAGGCCAAACAGACACTGGACAGACACACGTTGAGCCGTTGAGCAGCCGCACAAAGCAATTGAAAAATGCGATTCATATCGACAACAATAACAACAGCAAAAAAGAGCAACAACTAGTAGACAACGACTCCGCCTCCAGCAGCACCTCATCCACCAACATCTCCTCCCGTTCTTGTTGCTTCTGCTGCTGCTGCTGCTGCTCCTCGGTCCGGCAACATGTCAAGCATAATTAATTTTCGATTCTGCCTGGGCCGCCGCCAATTTCAAACCGTCTCCAGCTCCGTTGCCGTCAATATTGCCATCGCCGCCGCCTCAGCCTCAGCCTCAGCCGCCGCCACCTCGTCTACGTTCCTGCAATTGTGCTGAAAGTCAAGTCGATTGCCTCCCGCCACTGCCGCGCCGCCAGCTGGAAGTCGATTCAACGGGTAAACTTTGCCTCTTTACTTTTCTTTTGTAATTAATCTTTTTTTGTTTTTGTTTTTGTTATTATTGTGCTGCTTGAGTTGTTGTTTGTGTTGTTGTTATTGCCTGACAATAAGTACGTGTAGCGCGCGATTTTGTTTTATTATAATGAGAACATACAAACGTTTTGCTATCTGCCTGCCGCGTGCGCCCATCCCCGCCCATACCCCCGCCGGCTGCCTCTTTGGTTGTTTCAACATTTTGCGAAAATTGTTTAATTGTTTGAATACTATTATCACATTTTACGAGAGAGCGAGAGAAAGAGAGAGAGGGAGACAAATTGAGTGGGAGAGTGAGAACGAGAAGGGCAGACGAAGGCTTCTCTTACGTATGGCCTATCTCCGTACGCCCCTTCTTCACCCACCCCTTCTCCCTTCTACTCTGCGTTCAGTTAAAGAATTTATGAATGTACGTCGTGTATTCAATTGTGAAACGAATCAAGTTTGAATCAAAGCAGCTCAAATTACTATTCAAACATATGTTTGCCTTTTACCTACTTTAGCAATTAAGAAATTTGCATAGCCTTTTGTACGCACAATTTATAAGGCTCAAATTTACAGTTAACTTTACTTCTAGGGCCTATTCAAATTGTCTATTCAAAGGTCTTATATGATAGCTCTACACAAATATGATAGTATATCCACAAATGTGCACACACGCATAAGATAGCTATATTTAAAGAAGTAACCCTAAAAGAATCAGAAAATGTAAAATAAAAAAGAATTTGAGTTGGCAAAACAGAGGAAAACGAGAACTTTTTTTTTCGACACTAAGTTGCCGCCTTTCTATGTGATTCTCATAAATACAAGTAATAAGTAAAATTTGTGGGAGAGTGGAAGAAAAGAAAGTTAAAATGATGTAAAATGTGAGTGAAGGGAGTAAGAGATGTGACACAAAGCAAGTTATAGACAAGAGATATCTCTGCTGTCGCTGATATTTGAATTATTGCCTCAAGAAATGCATTACATCAGGGAAATAGCATTGGGCATAAGGAAAATTGTAAAGAAAATCCTCTTCTAAAGTCATGTGAACCGTTGTAGTCAGCAGTTGAATAAATTTTAAAATACCTTGTATCTTTGGCTTTAAAAATTGTTTGGTTATGAACAAATTTGTTCAATTTTTATTTTGCCGGAACTAAATGTTTTTTAAAAATAGCGATTTGCATGGGAAAGTACAAAGTTTTCCATGCATACTTTGCGACAAATTCAAATCTTGAAGGCATTGAGAAAATGGGCCTTAGAGACCTTAGCAAAGAAATAGCATGTGTATTGCAACAGCCTCTTCATGCTGATTCAGCAGACACTGAATTTAATTTATGGCATCACAGATCTTAAAACAAATTCCTTCAACATACTCTAGAGATTTGAAAATTGAATCAGTTTCAAACAATTCTGCCAATTCGGCAACAATATATCTTAAATAAACGCTTCATTCATGGTCCAAAGTTCAAATCATAATCAAATTGATAATTGATGTTGATAGTTACTTTATCACGATTGGTATTTGATAGCAGTACACTCATAATTCAATAGCTTAACTAGTATATTGTATTGCGCAAAGAGACTAAATACCTTGCTAATAGATGATATCTGTCATTTGAATTTCACAATTACAAGGTATTCACAGCGCCATAGCTCAATCACAGTCGAATAGTATTGTTCGTTCGACAACTGTATATGAGTAGGTTCTATGAATCATATTGTTTATCTCATTAGTAACGATGTGTCAAATTTAGCATGCCCCATATCCATACGTATTCATATCTATCCGCAAAATATATCTGTCATAAGTGACTGAAGATCACGTTTCAAATGCAATTATTTAGTTATTGAAGTTCAATTCGCCATATAAAATACTTAATAACATAAAAATGTATTAACAATTTCCTGTCGCCCATAGGTATTTTTTTATTATTATTAAAATGTTGCTCTAAAACCTCAGGAATTACAATGCATTCATTAAAGACAACAAAGTACGAGAGAATTACAGCAGGAGCAAAAAAAGAATGAACAAAATGACATCAAGCAGAGACAAACAAATGTAATAAAAGAAAAAAATTGAAAGAAATGTTGGTTATAACTGCGTACGCAGTTACCAGTAATATCTGAAAACCGTGCAGAGTGAGGGATGGGACTCGGTATGTGGACTAGAGACTGGAGACTGGGGACTGGGGACTGTGGCCTGCGGGGGCTTTACATGGCGTACGAAGTAAATATGAATGCAGACATTTGCTGGCATATCTGGCCAGAACAGACAGTCTGGACAACCCAGACATGTATATATATATATATATAGAGAGAGGCCACATTGGCTAGCTGGACAGTAGGCAGAGTTGGATGACAGTCAGCCGGGCTTAGACGACAACGACAATTGGACAGGCTCTCTGGGCCTAGGTGTTGCTTTTTACTGTTGTTGTTGTTGTTGTTGTTGCTGTTGCTGTTCGGTTTATGGTAAAAATGCAACTATACCTGTTTTGCCAACACTGACGCACACTCGCACACACGCACACACAACAACTTAACTCGTTTGCTCAGTTGCAGGCTCAACAGTGCAACTGCAACTGCATTTCAGAGTTTTTTACACCCTTTCAATGAGGGTATTTTCCATTCGTTAAGACATGAGTAATTCATTGTAAAAGATATTCGAGGCCTTAAAATTGATCATCAGAACAAACTCTATATATACGCATAGGCTAAGAGCATGCGAATCAGTCAAGTTATATTTGTAAATATAGAAGTCGATTCCCGGAGCTGGCAGTATATGTATTCAATATAGTCTAGTTCTCTGAGAATTATATAATCCTTAATTAAAATTCTTATTTTTGTGTTTCAAGCATTAGTAAAGGAAACTTAAACTAATCGAGTTTAAATCTGGTTTTTATATTGTGCGCGAATTTCATTAAAACCCTATTTAAATATAAACTTGCCCTTCAGAGAGAATCCAACTTAATAGATAATTCATTCGGTTGTCTTTTAAATTAATTAAGTATGACAACAAATTTGGAAAATATACAAATTTAAGATAAATATAACGCAACCAAATGAAAACTTGGTTAAGCTACAAAGAAAAGTTAACTTTTTTTCTAATAAATGACAGGGTATTTAAGCTGCGTCATTTCGAAACTTTAATGCACTTTCTTGTTTTTGTTGCCTTTTTTTGTTTTCGTTTTTTTTTTTTTTTGGTGCACGCACCTGTCCCAGCATAGACATAACCAGAGACAGGCGGTCTGCAGGTGTTTTGTTTGCTTTGGTCTAGTTTGCAGTCGCAGCTCACACGAGTTGGAGCTGGAGTTGGGACTGAGGCTGGACCTGGGACTGGCTGTCTGTGTCTCTCTGTGGCAGAGTCCTCAGCATAATAATAATCCGGCAATTAAAATATGATCGCATAATAACTCGGCACTCGTGTGTCTTCCTATGATTTATGGCGCTTCTTTTGGCTTTTGGCTTATTTATAGACTCGCTCTCTAGGGGTAATTGTGTTGTTGTTGTTGTTGTTGTTGTTGGTGTTGTTGTTGTTGTTGACTACTTTTTTACGCATACTTTTGCATTCGCTTAAAGGTAAATTGCTGTCGCCAAGCGGCAAGCGCCAGACGCCGTCGCCGTCGCCGTTTGCCGTTCGCCGCTCGAAACGCGTTCGCCTGGGCCGGCTTGGCTCGTTTGACTGGCAAAACCCAAAGACAAGAGCCAGAGCCAAAGCCAACAGCGCTCCTCAACAACAGCAAAAATAAAAACAAAAAAAAAAACAGTGCAAAAACGAACCAAAACATTTGATACGCCCCCCCGGCTCGCCGACTTTGTCGCAGCTCCCAACCGCTAGCTGCAGCTCCCGCTGGCGACTCTTTGGGCCTGGCCTGGCCTGGCCTGGCTTGGCCAGCCTGTCTGTCCGGCTGTTGCTTCTAATAAATAATTTTAAATGCTGACTACAAAAACCCCAAATGAATGGCCGGCTGACGGGCTGACTGACAGACTGACGGACTAGCAACAGCCAGGCGCAAGTTGAAGTGTAACCCAATAGCCAAAGGCGCGCTCTTAATTGACTGCGTGGGATGTGAACGTGGATGTGGCTGTGGCTATGGATGTGGACGCGGTTGTGGATGGCTGCACAGCTGGTAGCTGGTTGAGGCTGAGGCTGTTCGGTGTTCGCTTCAAGCTGTTAACTGTAATTGCTAGCTTGTAGTTGTTAGCTGTTAGTTTGTGTGTTAGTTGCCAAGTGTTGGGGCAACTGGGGCAAGTGGCAGTTGCCATTTGGTTGTCTCGATATTAAACGGGTACCCGCATATTTGGGGGTAGTTCTCTGCCAACAGCCTAATGACGTCAGCTTTGTCGCCATATGTCTCTATGCCTCAACTACACGCACACACACACACACACACAGCGGCCATGCGTCATCACGCAGGTTGTCGACGGCGATGTCTGTGTCTGCATTGCAATTTCACCATGCCCCCCACTCAGAGGCTGTCTGCGTCATGCACAGCATACACACTCATACACTTACACTCCCACACACACACACGCACACACACACACATAGATGGCAGACACGGCGTTCTGGTGATAATTTCGCCATGACACGCAAAACTGAACCAATTTGTTTGCCTTCGCTCTCATTTTTTTTTTCTGTTTTTCTTGTTTTTGTTTTTATTGTTGTTTTTGTGCTTGTTGCAATCAAACACAAACTAATTAATATTTACAAAAACAATAGCAAAGCCAATGAAAATTTCGCCGCCGCTCAGATAAGCCTATTAATAGCCCACAGAAAAACAATTTGTGGCAGACTGTGCGGCGTGCTGCACTTAACGCAATACACATAGATACAATGGCTGTGTGTGTGTGTGCGTGCTTGTAATGGTTAATGTGCTTGTATTAGTGCACTTTTATCTAAAAAGCTATATGCGGCATGCTAGGCACACGCTGTGCTTACAACTTAAGCGGCATTAGAATCAGGAAAGTCTAGGCATGCTTTT